CTAAATTATAATTATTTAAATTGTTTTCTGTTTACAAAGCATGTTTTGAATAACCCTCAAAAAGTTTTTGGTTGTATTATTTATTTCAATTCGAAATTGAACCAACAAGTAATACCCCCTCTTTAATGTTTTTCTATCTTGTCATGCATTTTCTAATTATAAATTGGTGTTATTGTTATTATGTTTGACGTTTTAATATTAAATAGTGCCGTCTTTTGATAATATTTTGATAATTTATTAATAATTATATACTGGTTCTGTATTTTGGATCTTATTATTGTTTTTGTCTCATAGTTTCTTTTGGTAGTATTATAATAGTTATAATATAGTTATTCGTTTAAATAAACATTGTTTTTAAATAGTTATTTTATAATAATTTTATAGTTGTTCAATTGTCCATAGGAATTGTATGGTAATAATTGTCTGAGTTTCGTTCTTAATTTGCTTTCAAATAACATTTTACATCAATTTCCCTATTTGTTCTTTATTTTCTTATTGTTTTTTTAATAATTTTTTAAGTCGGCAATTAATTCAATATTTGATTGACTGTTTGTTGACATTGCATCAGAGGCAGTTTATGTTTCATGGTATCGTGTTTGTTTTTTGTGTGTTTTTTTGTTTGTTTTTTAAATTATTGGTAAAAATTGGAAATACTTACTAATCGGTTATCACATTTGCAAGTGTAAAAAGCTATTTTGATCATCAACCGCCGTTTATTTTCGTGTTTTTCTGTTTGATTTTGGTTTTTAGAAGTTTCGATAGTTCCTTGTTATTGAAATACGGAAGTAACGAAACTGGGCGCTCCTTTGGTTTTTGTCTTATAAGGACCTGTTTTAACCTGAAAAATACCAAAAAGTATAATTCAGAGAAATTTTGGCATGGTTTTATTTTAAAAATGATATTATATTGGCCTGAAATAAGAGTTTTTCGCCCTAAAAAAAATCAATGAATAACTTTTTTACCAGTTAGCTTTGTGTTTTCAAGTTCAAATAAGAAAAAATTGAATTAAAAAATAGTAAAAAAACGGGAAAAAAACAAATAATTTACTTGAAAACAATTTTGTTATTCGGCATTTTGTTATAAAATAATGGTAAACGCCTGATCATGCTCCTGATGAGAAAAACGAGTCTGTCTATTTCTTAAAGTGGCACATTTTGCAACCGGATTATGCCATCAACCTAGTTCAAATGGAAAAAACACCAGGTGGAATAATATTTGAACCAACTGATATAGTAAATGGGAAAGGATTTATCTCCATTGGATATGTCTATATAACTGAAATGATGCTTGACCAAGACTTCACTCATGTGCAATTTGACTTGGAAATGGAAGACACGACAGATTTTGAACTGATTCTGGCAGACTTGGTGTTCAAAACAGACTTTGTCGAATTCACAAACACTTCTTTTGTATTTGTAGATAAAGACCTGAAAACAAAATACTTTAAAACAGACAAAAAGGTGTCAATCACAGCTTATTACAAACCAGATAGAAAAGAATTTTCAAATGGAGGGTCAATCAAGTTTTTAGTCACAAAAGGATCGTATGTGAGATTGCAAAATATTACTTTGTTCAGATCAAATTTCGCAAACAATCAATATATTTGCGATTCGAATTCTTTTGATTGTTTTGGAACAGAGTGCCAAATCACAAACGATTCATATCCACAAGGAACCAGCATATGGAGTGAACACTGTCGACCAGCTTGTGGATTGTGTAGAGAAGGCTTTGTGTGTACACAGCTGGTAGGTGCATCAGAGAACAAAT